TGGTTTGTTTTTGTTTTTTTTTTTTTTTTTTTTTTTTTTTTTTTTTTTTTGTCTTTTCTTTATTTCTTTGGATAGAAATTCAATCATTTTGAAGCTATCTCTGGAGCATCTAGGACAGTTCCTTTAACAGTGAATCATTAGGTTGCTCAGAGTATCTCACAGAACTAAACCTTGGAAGCTCTTCTGAAATATTTCCCCTGCTAAGCGAGAGGGGTGTCATGAAATGAAACAAAAAAGGAGACAATATTTCTTTTGAATGGAAGGATAAAGTACATTTAATTTAGACCAGGCTAGTTCAGTATCGATGGTTTGCTTGTGGCATTCAGCAATTTTAAAATCAGAACCTTGTTGGTATTAACTCTGCCACACAGAGGAGGAATTAATCCCGTGGAAATGCACATTGTAACTGGACATCGCAGCTATCACAAAGCCAGAGCCCTGGAAGTTTAGAGTGTTGTGGAACTGAATACAGCTGTGTTAATTTTAAAGCAAAGCCCTTCAGCTTCCAACGACTTCCACAGTAGCATTTCCAGTGTTTTTTATTAATGTAGGCAGGCTGTGTTTTCCCCTCTTCTCGGTGCCATCACCGGCTCAGTGGTGCGCTCCAGGAGCGGTGCAGGAGCAGGGCAGCGGCGTGCCGTGACCGATGGGCACGGCTGGCACTGCCCGAGCCCCATCTGGATGGAGCAGGTTTGGGAGCATCTCAGGTGTGGGGAGGGAGCCCTGCATGGGCTCCCCGGGCTCAGCACCCCCAGCACTCTGAGCCCTGTGCTCCCTGCCCTGCTCCCTCGCCCCCAGCCAGCACTGATGCTCCTTTTGGGCACACATGGCCTGCGACCAGAGCAGCTGCTAAGGGTATGGAGAACACAGGCCATGGTACAGCAGCTATTTCCACTTCTATTTGCACTTGAAACTCCTGATTTTTTAGTCAAGCCAAGGTAGTTCTTACAAGCAGCTGCATCGCTGCATGCAAGACTTGTAACCCATGTTTTGCTGCTTAAGTCTGAAGGAGGGCGAGCCAGGGGGAATCATGTGCTTGACAGATGTAACCGAGCCCTCAGAACCAGCAGGTTTGCAGAGAAATGCTGCATTTTTTTTTCTTTGTTTCTGTGCCCTAAGGATACGATGCAGTTTGGCTCATTTAACTACAGTACAGGAGGCTTTCTCTAAATGTGAAATATCTCTTGCCAAAGAAACAAAAGGCACCAAATGGAAAATAGAGCGAAGCAAACAATAAACTGTGAGTTCGACTTCAAAATGCAGGCAGGCAGAAAGGTTTTCATTGAATACGTTTTTATACTTCAAATGTATTCTTTAAAAAAGAAACACTGCATAAGCAATGTTTTCTGTGCTCTCTCGTTTGTGTACAAACATAACAAGCTTGCTTTATTAGGTTTTGACACTTTTTATACATTTCTTAATTATTAAATCCTTTCAGAGCAGGAGATGCTGAAAAGGCATCTGAAATAGGAGCAGTTTTAATTCTAAGCTTTTCTTCAAGTGGGGTAATATGGATAAAATAGGAGAACCTTCACTTACCTACATTGTCAGAATCCATTTATTTGGTTCTTTAGAGTTCAACATTTAACCAGAAAGCAATAAATTTGATTTTATACACTGCCACGTAAAGCATATTTTTCAGCTGAAATGTGGTTTTCATTAAGACTCGGGCCAGAACATTTAGCAGAGCCTGACTGTCTGCCATCCTTTGTTCTCCTTGCTGTTGCCAGCAACCACTTTTTTAAAAAACCATGCACAAAGTGAGCATTAAAGGGTCATTTAATCTTAAAGATACTTGAAACAGAGTCTGAAGGGACAACTTGTGTTGCCTAGGTGGTATTAAGCCATGCCTGTGTACTGTCATCCACAGCTTTGAAATTACTCTAATACCTGAGTTCATAGGCTAATTTAGGATCAATATTTCCTCTTGCTTTTAGGGCCATTTAATATTTTCAACTCAATGCATTAAAATTTATTATTTCTTTTATTCATTTCAGTTCGCTGTATTTTAAAGAGCACAATAAAGGAGCATTTCAGGTGATTCCATTTAAAGAATTTTTGGTTCCTTAGAATCTATTCAAGTGTATCTGTTGTGTAGTCTGGGATTTCCATCAGCCACATGAATATACAAACATGTGATAGCTGACACTTCATTGTTCTCAGTAGAAATTAGTATTTTGAACAACTGGCTTTGGCTATTATTAGCCAAGTAAATAGTAAAGAACTTGTTTAAAAATACATGCTTTTATATTACATTGTAATATCGTGTCTGTTGAATTAATTATGAATAATAAATTCACACTAATTTTAAAGGTTAGGAAAGGCTTCAGTAGTCACTTATTTTAAGGGATGAACATCTCAGATTTATTGTCATTATCATTTTAAACTTAGGGCCTGCAGTAGAATGTGCAAGTTTAATTTCTTTAATGTTCCCTGTCTTCCAACAATTAAATGAACCTGCAGAGCCTGCACTGATAATCTTGTGTGTCAGTTTTCTGCTGGAAGCATAGTGGGGTTGATTTCTTTAATGGCAAGGCTGTAAATCTCTGAATATATACAAGTTAGTAAAAAAAAAAAAAAAAAAATCCCTTACCCTTCGTTGTTTGCTTATTAATGGGGTCTCAGTTATAAATAAGTGAGCCAGACCTCAGCTGAACAACTCTAATGCAAGAGGTAAAAGAGTCTCAGCTTTATGGAGATTCTGAAATTGCCAGAGCAACTTGCCATTTTGTGATAAATCTAAAAAGTTAGGAGTTGCTGGTAAAAATAATAGAAAAGTTCAACCCTCTTAATTAAATATGAGCCTAATTAGCACTAGGTGTGGATGCTTTGAATATTAATTAGGGTCCTCATGGAACTGCTGTCAAGGTTAATGAGAAACAATGGGGGTCTCAGCAACATCTGGTTTAGGGCTGGAGGTGGCACAAAACCCTTTAGATGAAATGCACCTGGACATCACCCCTTGGTCCCTCCGTGGCCATTGCTGCTCTTTTTCAACAGCTGCTGACTCTGATGCCGTGTTTAGCCTCTGACAGCAAGGAACAGCTTCAGGACCAGCACTAACCAGCTCCTGCATTTCAAAACCAGCACACTGGAAATGCTTATAGAGGCAGAATCTGGATTTGCTTTTGTTCATTCTTACTTACCCCTTGCTCAAGTCCCTCCTGAAACAGCTGATTAAAAAATTTCAGGTCGGCTGCCTCCCACACAAGTTTTAAAAGTACTTCTTTAACATTTAATGAATGCCTCTGGTGTAATCCAGTCATTCCTGGGTTTTGCTTCATCTGGATTTTAAAATTTTTTTAATAGTGAAAATACTAGGTAAAAGAAATAAGAAAGGAACTTGACCATTTTAATATTAGAGGGTAATAGTAGACATTTAAAGTAGACATTTACAAGAGTTTTTAACCTCCACAGAAATTTAACAGGGCCAGTTTCAGTGCAGCATTAACCTTGCTAAGGTTGTAGATATGCAAACAAATCTTAGTGACTTAACCCTGTAAATTCAGTAAATGACACTGATTTCCTGCTCAAGATGGTTGAATGAAGCAATGGAAACCACTTGCTCAAGGCCATACACTAAACCAGCAGCAAGGATGGGATTAAAATTAGAGAGAGTTTGATTGCTAAGATAAAGTTCTAATTTTTTAGGACACTCTGAATGTCTTTTACAAATGAAAATTCCGTTTTCTCTTTTAAGCCTGTCAAGTACCAAGACTTAACTCCTGTGTGAATTCTTAAAAGCTCTTGAGTTTAGGATGAGTTCAGGTCAGAGAACTGATGGCTGAATTACTTGAAATTGGCTGGAAATGCCCTGAAGTACAAAGTGCAGAAGAATGTATTTTATTCATCCAGCCTATTTTAAATTAGGAAATCAAGGATTGATGAGTACAAATAAAATCCCTGCAATAGTCTTGGGCAGGTGCTTTTACATGTGTTAGTGGGAGAATGATGGAGTAGTTTGAAAGGTCATTAAATTTTAACTTAACTGTGCATTTTTACATTCCTTGCTACTTATTGGGATAATTTTATTTTGTACATTAGTTTATCTGAGGTTGGGATAGTCCCTGCACTAATGGCCTCTAATGCTGTCTCAGGCAAAATCCCGTTTTGGACATTTTTTTATATAGGTTCAGAAAGATTGTAGTATAGATAGATAAATTGTAGAAACCCAAGCTTTGCAATTGATAAATTAACAGGCTTGGCTATTGTTTATTATATCAAATGGAAATATGGATCTCTCTATAAAGACATGAGGATAGTGTTATTAAAGCTATAGGTTAATTGTGATACAGAAATGAAATACTGTTGTCTTCAAATGTAAAACCTTTAAAGTTCTTAAATCGATTTCTCCTGACATAGAACTTTTCTTTTATGTTATTTAAGGTTTTGAACTGATGCAGTTTTAGATTCAAATATTTAATATTGTGACTGGATCTCATTATTATTTTGCATTTGTGCTATTCAACTGCTCCATGCAGAGTAACTCAAAGTATTCTGAATATTTCAGGGCATTATTTCACATGGTTATTTTTAGTGTTTGTTAACAGTGTGCACCCAAATCCCTCCCTGTGTACAGGGTGCCTGTGTTGTGTCCTGTAAATGATCAGTCAGAGTGGTCACAGACTGGGGGCTGAGCTTACCCGAGCTCAAGAACCTTTGGAATAAACTGGCTTTGTCCCTCTTCCTTGTCTGAGTTGAGGCATCATTAGTGCAGGCAGATTTCACTGACCTTTCCCACTTACAGACTAGTCTACAATTATCCAGCAAGCAGGAGATTTGTTTGTCTAATTATAATATTTAATAGGGTTAGCAAAATGCATTTAATGCAGATAAGAAATACTCTTCTCAAGAAACAACCACTGTGCCCTTTTCAGGCCAGGATGCTCTCATTGCTCTCTGCGTTACGGGTGCAGGACCTTCGCTTATTTTATCTCACGCCACGTTTCTTCCTTTTTTTTTATTATCATTTTTCTTTTTCTCCCTTTGATTTTTCACAGGGTAATCAGGAAGCTACAGCACCTCCTGACACAATGGCACAGCCTTATGCCTCAGCCCAGTTCGCTCCACCTCAGAACGGTATCCCTGCAGAATACACAGCCCCACATCCGCATCCCGCTCCAGACTACCCAGGCCAAAGCACTGTTGCAGAGCACACGTTAAACATGTACCCTCCTGCTCAGACACACTCCGAACAGAGCGCAGCTGACACAAATGCACAAACTGTCTCCGGCACAGCCACAGTAAGTCAAGGTTACTGCTCTTTCTAAAGCTCTGTGTTTCGTTTGTATTTATCAGTAACGTTTTTTTTTTTTTTTTTTGCCTTGGCACACTTCATTTGCGTTAGGCTCAGTCACCACGTTAAGGTTGAAAGTCTGTCAGAGTTTGCTGTTTGAACCTGGAGAATGTGTTTTCGCTGGTTTTGGTGCTTCTTAGTAAGCGTTGGAGCTTTGTAGAACCTGGGGTTTCATTTTCAACGGCGTTAGACAAAATGATTAATAGCCAGCCCATGAATCACAGCATAAATTTTAATTAAGTCCAATATGGAAAAACATTGCAAATGAGTGTTTGTAGGCATTCATTTGCGGGGCCAAAGAAAGCAACGAAAAATCCCAAACCGGACTAATTTGATTATTTTTATGACCTCTGTGTTTTCGACACAAGTAGTTTTAATAAAAGTATTACTTGAAAGATCCTGTACAAAATTTTCTGTGTGAATTAGTATTGTGAAGAGCATGTCTGCAATATTGTATTTTCTAGAGAGCTTGTTTGTGCAGCCATTACCCAAGTTGTGTGTGGATCTGTGCTAAACAGAGCAGAAATGATAGACTTTCCGTCTATTTGATTTATATGTGAAGTTCTGAAGTGTCATGAATTATGCAAGAGATTCCTTGGATGGCTCTACCTTGTAATTTAAGTCACAAATTTCACACACTGATAGTTTAGTGTTTCTGTCTTAATTCTAGAGCGGGACCCAATATATCCAGTGCCAAGAGCTGGCAGATCTCTGAGCTATCAACCAGCCCACTGTGTTACATGTGCAGCATGGAGCACAGAGCAGGCAGTGCTTGAAACTTCTCTCCTGGCTGTCCTCATCCTTGCCTCAGCCATTCTCCATGCCTCAGCTTACCTCCCCTTCCTTCCTGGCTCATATCCAGCCTAAAAGGTTTCATGCATTAGGGCAAGAAGAAAAGGAAAGCACGTTCTCTTAAATGAGCACTGCAAATTTATGTTTTGTTGCCATGCCACTAATTTCTTTATATGGGTTGAGCAAGAAAGGAAAGCAAGAGCAAAGGCACTGAAGAATATTCCTAGCCATTCTGACAGAGAAATCCTTGTGAATTAATGATACTTTTTTGTGGTTTATGCAGTAAAATGTTTTGGTCTATTTAACTTGGTAACTTTTTATTGCCCTGAGTTTCTCTTTTCTCCTGTACTGGGAGAAAGTTTAAATTGAAGAGCATCCTATTTCCTGGTATCTCATAGTGCTATTTGCAGCTCTACTGTGTCTCCTCTTATCCATCTCTTTGCTAAGTTAAATTCCTGGTTCTTTCCAGGTTTTAAAACTTGCTTCCGTAATCCTTTTTGATTGTTGTCCAACTCTTGTCAAATACCACTGTCATTGGTTTAGAGCAGGAATCCTAAGCTGAATAGATAGTCCAGAAGAGATTGGATATTGACTAAAAAGATGGTCTTTCCTACCGTACCTTTTTTGTTCTTTTATGTTCTCTGATTTTGCTTGGTTTTTGTGACCACTGCTGCAACTTGAACAATCCGCTGTGATGGCCAGCTCAGCCTTTTCACGTTTTGAAACGGTTTCTGTTCAGTCCTGAAGTAAAATACTGACAGTGCTAAAATCAATGGTAAAAGACCCGTCGATGGGAGTGGGACAGGAGCTCATCCCTCATCATTTATTGCTTTCAATTGATTGTGTTTCCTCACCCCGTTTTGATTTTTCAGTTTGAAGAAATGTCAGTCACTTTATCAGAGAAGTCAGGGATGTGTTTTCCCAACATTTTCCATAGCAAAGGCTGGTGAAAAGACATAGTTTGGATTGTCTGCAGTGCCCTTATCTTCTTCAAGTGCTCTATTCAATCCCAGCTCTAGCAAATCCAATGATTCCCTGCAAAGTTTCCTGCTTCTGATATGCAAATAGGCTTTATTGTTATTTGCTTTTGTGTCCTTTGCTATCTGCTCTTATTTGCTTTTTGCCTCCCTAATATCCAACTTGTATTTTACCTGTCAGACACCTTTTCCCTTCAGTTTCCCCTTGGAGTGAATTTCCATTCACTGCAGGATAACACTTCAATTCCACTAACCTGTTATATTCAGGGAATATGGTATAGTTATTTGCTCTTTTTATTGTGGATCCTTTCCTTGCATTCTGGTTTCCTTTCTTACAGAGGAATGGACAGAACATTTTGAAGTAGCTCTCATGCTGTTTAAAAAGAATTAGATTTCCTTCCTTTTGACTTTAGGGTCTATTTGAGAAAGTTTTAGTATGGTTCAGTTTTTAACAAGATTTTTTTTCTAAATTGCAATGTTACATTGAAAGCTGTGGATGCTGTCCCTCAAGAACAGTACAATGAAAAGGCAGGTTTCCAAGAAGTGTGTTTATCTGTGGATCTGCACTGACATTTAACACATTGTTCACCAGCCAGGTTTACAGATGTACAGACAAATATTGCTTGCACAATTTAATTACAGGTATCTAGGTTTAAAATGTGTTATGGTGAGTGTCTTTAGCCATTGCTCTTGGCAAACAGTGGGAATTCATAAATAGATATATGCAGATGGATCCCAGGCAGATTTGACATGGGCTTTGTAACATTGTGAGGGCCCAGCTGTGTGCATCTCTCTGTAGGTTTAATAATGTAAGTTTTTATTATGAAAGAGAGCTTTAATAGCACTGTGTCAATGTTGTACCTCTATGTGTTCTTTACTATTGAGGAAAAAAAAATATGTTCTTTTTCTAATTCCTGCTAGCTTTGAGAATAGTTGATTTCCAGTTGAGGAGTTTTAAGTGGAATTGGTGTGGGGACATAGTGGCATTTGTTTGGTAGGTTTTATTCAATTTCCTTTCAGTAAGCTGTTTATGACATGTATTTGAAAGAAGAATAATCAATTGGCCAGTTATTCACAATTGAATGCTGTTGTGGTTAAGGACAAGTTGTTAGAGTAATGTTTTTGAATTTTCTTACTCACAGATTTATGTACATGTGAAGCCATGTACATATGTTCACCATTAAAAATGGATCTTAAAATTTTGCAATATGAACCCAAAGAAACCTGCAGGGCAATTGTGGAATTACTGATTACTAAACTGTAGAATTACTACCAGAAGTGACTTAATCTCCTCCATGAAGGACTGAATCCATGCTGAGGTGAGATACATCCCAGGCTTTCTCTGAGTGTCCCACGTTCCTTCTCCTTGTCTGAAAGAATCATACACTGAAGCTGAAGCTCATGCTGGGTCTAGTACCACCTGAACCTCAATAAAGATAGAAATAATAAAAATAAACTGCTTGTGTGCAACTTCCCTTGAATCCTCAGCTTCAACCCAGGGTGTGATCCCAGCCCAGCTGGAGCCACTGCCAGGATCCCCATTTGCTGCAAACCGAAATTCCAATCATTGGTTTTATTACAGGACTGCAATTTCGTGCAGAGTGCTCTTGTAATTCATGTTCAAAAGTACTTCACGTACTCTTGGACACGCTCTTGTACTTCCAGAAAGTGTCTTTCCCAGTGACCAGTTTTAATATATTTAGATAAAATAGTTTAACACAGTATTCTGTCAGAGTAAGTGCTGGAACAAGAGGTGCTCAGATTGTATGTGCAGGGATTGCTAACTCTGATTGTAGTGCTGTGAAACTGGAGAAGAGGCACAGGATGAAAGGGTAGGAAATGATTAAAGACAGGGTGACTCAGCTGAAATAATATAAAATCATTGATAGGTAATAAAATACTGTCAAAAGTTACTTTGAGTCTTCTCTATGCACTTCTGGTTTTCATCTCTTTGGATCCATATATTTGTTAATTCTGAGTAAGGAGGAAGTGCATCTGAGCATATGCAAAATCAATAATCAACCAGCAGTGGGTTATTTAAGTGCTGGTAGACTTTTGGAGTTGCATAGCATCAAGCATGCTTTAAGGCATTAACAAAAATAGTAAATGGCTTCTTCCTAGAAGGTTGGATCTATGAAATGTCACAAAGTTCTGCCGAAAGTAATGTGTCTGATGATTTTGTCGAGTGTTTTGGAGTGCTACATTAGATAGTTATGTGTATTAAAGTATTTTTAAGTAAGACATTTAATCATTTTATGAAATCAGCCTTTACTTGTGTACATATACAGATGTAATTGTATTATACATAAATAATTCTGAGGAAAACTTGTTCAGTTTTTGCCTGTGGCTTTCTTGCACAATTTCTGTTGATGACAGCAGGAGATGGGTGTGTAAATAAAATGGCCATTAGCTGGGCATGTGTAAGGGAGCAGGTAATAGTAGAGTATATGTTTCTCTAGTGTTCCCTATTCTAAGTGTATTATACTAATAATGGAAGTCACTGTCCCAGTGTGGTAAGGGCTGAGGTTGCAGTAATGCTCTGTGTTTTATTGTGTATATAAAAAATGTGCTGCTTTAAACTTAATCCTACTTTTGCATAAAACTTGAGATCATTGTGCAGTCCCTCTGCTTTGGACAGACCCTTCACCAGGCTTCAGAAGCTGCAAAGTTGTGTGATAAATTGTGTGTTTGGATGGGAGATCTTGAGCCAAAGGCAGTTTACTTGGAGGAGTGATCTGTACATGTCTGAAGGGTTGAGCATCAGCAGCCAGCATGGATGCAGTGCTGTTCCAGCCCTGTCGAAGATGTGCAGTGCAGAGGTGTGGGTTGTCTCTGGCCTGGGAAGATGATAAGGTATTTTCCCTCTAACTTCACTGTTAGAATAAAATTTCAGCTTGGTTACTACCTAAATTCCTTTGGTGTCATCCACTGAACCTGATATTCTGTGTGAAAATAATTGATATATTAGGTATTATGTCTGGTGTTCCATCTGCCCTGTATACCTTGAGATGTTTTATATTCTTTGGGATGTAATGGCCTGTAAGTTTGATGTTTTCTTTTCTTGGTGTTAATTTGTCCAGGTTTGTGCCATTTTTGGTCATATTGCAGAGGCCATCTCCTCATCTGAGGATTTATGAAGGCTTAGTGATGCTCTGGACTACAAAATTATTTACCATGT